GCCCTTTAAGAATACTTTTTATGAAATATGGGAGAAGAAAATAATATTACAATTCCAAAATAACATCTAACTGCATTGACTGAAAAGTTATGATGCCATTTTAAAGAAAGGAACTTAGTTCCATCAAACTCTGTAGCTCTCAAAGCCTGGCTTGGGGTGTATGATTTAATTGGTAACCTAGCATAAAGTAGCCTTTTCTGACCTCCTGAACCACAAGGAAACCCAGTTCCTTTCACCTTTAATAAAAACTCTGTGGGGTGTTATAAATTGATTTTTGTAGGGCATACATAAGAAGAAACACATGCACAATTAAATACGCAATGAAAGAGTGTATTTGGAGTTTGGTTGAATGGGTCCTGTGTGGATGTCACAATATATTCTGCCTTAAGTTAGGTTACTGACTTTTAACTTAGCACTCAATTAAATTGGAGGGTTTTTTCCTCATCAAAAGCCATATTTAAATAACCAATTATAATCACAGTACTTTGCCAAACTAGAAAATGGTACTTCCTACATTTTGGGAAAATATGTATCTCAAGATTCTTTTCTCTTTATAATATTCTGCCCAGCTTCCCTTCTTCCTGCATCCCCCATTAAGGTTTAATTCTTAGATCACTCTGAATTTTGGAAAAATGTCCAGATTTTTTTTAACCACATATGTTTTGGTTTTCTGAATATTGCACACTAATGAAACTTTCCTGTGCATCTGTAGTGAATAAATCTTTGAATTGCTAATTGTTTCAGATTAACCTCATAGATCTTTAGCAGCTGCCTGTATGTCATTTTCAGCCCACAAATTCAGTCTGTTTATTTCTGGGTCTTTAATCATAAACCATACACACATGCCTAAAGGTCAGGTCACCTCGTGGGTGGAATGATGGAAGCATCAGTATATTCTGTACGTCCATGGGGGGCGAGGCATCCTTTTTCTCCTCCTCTTACCTTCTGTTAGTGAACTTGGACTGCCATAACAGATTAACAAACGCTGGGTGGTTTAAACAGCAGAAATATATTTTCTCCTAGTTCTGGAGGCTAAAAGGTTAGAAGTCCATAGTTAGTGCACCAGCAGGGCTGGGTTCTGCTGACACATCTCTCCTCACTTTGCATTTCGCTGCCTTCTCGTTGTATCTTCACATGGCCTTTCCTCTGTGGGTGCCCTTCTGGCATCTCTTCTCTTTCTCATAAGGACACCAGTCCTATTACATTAGGGCCCCACTCCTAGGACCTCATTTAACCTTTGTTACCTCCTTAAAGGACCTGTCTTCAAGTACAGTCACATTGAGAGGTTAGAGCTTCAACACAGGAATCTGGAGGTAGGGGACACAATTCAGTCCCTTACACACCTTAAGGATGATTCCTGATGTCTCCCATTCAACGCTCCACATCCCTTTGCCCCTTCTCTCCATGTGCTCTGTGCTGAGGGGTACTGACCTCTGTGTCCTCTGTCTATGGTCTCCTGGGTCCTCTGGCTTCTGCTAGGGTGTGGCCAGTGAGATGGATACACTGGCAGGAAATGGGAGAGAGAAGAGGAGACTGGGTCTCAGTATATATTTCCCTGGCCCCCTCCCTGAAGGGTTGATAGGGGTTGGTGTGTCCCCTGAGCAGTTCTCAACTATTATTCCCTCTGTCTCAGCTCCAGGGACACCCCTCTTCCCAGGGCCTTGCGGGCCTGCTGTAGGAATGGGTTACTGACTCAATACTATCCTTTCGAGTTTCCCTTCACTATGTCCTTGTATCACATTATCTGTTTGGTACAAGGATGTCATCTGTCTGGAAGTGGTGTTTCCAGGGCAGCAGCGACACACTATTCTATTAACCAACTGCTATCTCAACCCAGTGGATCTCCAGAGGGCCCCTGAACAATGTCATTGTCCTCCAGTGTGGTGTCATCTGTCAATGCTGCCAGAATAGAAGGACTTGTGGTCATACTTCTGAGGGAACCTTTGTCAGATTGAGATTTCGGGGGGAGGGGAGGCTTTGGAGTCAGAACCTATGTCCCTTCCCTTGAGGATATTCAGATAGGTCCTGAGTTCTGATTCTACAAATCTGAAGGGAACTTGGAGGCTGGTCTGCATTCAGATCCTAATGCCAAGCTTCAGTGAAGACATTGGAGTTTCAGCTAAAAAACAGTATAGCAAACATAAGCCCTTTTTTTGCCCAGAAGAAGGTGGCTCTTAACGGCCAAGGGCTCAGCTCAGACTCTGGTTCCAGTTGGATTTCAAGCTCTGGCTCTGGCATTAGTGAGCATTTCTGAACCTCTTTGCTCATCTGTAAAATGATGATGATGTTGACTCGAATTGTGCAGAATAATGTTTGGACAGTGCTTGGTGCATAGTAAGTTTCTATAAATGTTAGCCTCTGTTGGTTTTAGTATGCAATGGACCTTCTATGTGTAAAGCCCCTCTTGATCATAAAGTAACATTATTTCTTAAGAATTGGTCCTATGTTTTCCCTCTTAATAGAAGAATAAACATGTTTGTTTTTGTTTATAGAAATAATACATGGTCACTGGAGGATGGTATGAAAAGAAAATAAAAATTTTTCCTAATCTTACCAAGGAGTGTAGTTCTGGTACATTGTCACTTTGTGGTAGCTTTATGCATATAACTTTAGACACATTACTTCTTTATATACACATACATTTTTTTTAAACTGAGACCATACTATATCATTTTGTATCCTACATTTATCACTACATCATGAACATAAAAGTACTGCCTAATTTCTTATTAAATATTCTTTAAAAATTGAATTAGTTTTTAAAGATCTTTTCTGAATTTATACACAGGTACAGTCATAATTTTACATAAAAAAAGTGTGTGTATGTATGTAATTGTACTAGATGTGCTTTCTCATTGTTTTGTGGTTCTTAATCTATTATCTCTTATGGTCCTGTCTAAACCAGATGGCTTTTTGTATTATTTCACATGTTCTGTTCACATGTTGTTAGGTAAGGCTCCAACAAATTTTTGCTTACAGTACAGCCCCTCAGTATGTAATAGGGTACGTTTTGGTGATGTACCGGAACCTTCTTCCTTCTCTGACTATGATGTTTTATTTCTGAAGTCTAGATATAAGTTAGTCACTAGGATTTTTCAGTCTGGCCACCCACACCATAATGAGAGGCAGTTCCATCTAGGGATTAACAAAGTATTGAACATAATCCTTACTTTATGATGGCTTGGTGATTTTTGCATCTTTTTCTATATTTCATGAATATTTTGATGGGCAAGTGAGGGAAAGTAAACCAGGCCCAGCTGTCTTGGGCAACAGCATCTAGAAGTTACTATTCCTCTCTCTCCATGATTTTTTCCATTCTGGCATAATCATATTGCATTTTTTCCACATTGAGGGATAAAAAGAAATCTGTGCTCACATCATTCAAATCATGTCATAAATATTCTCTTCCTTAAGGATTGAAGGGCAGAGATGGTTCATCACAGATACTCCAGATTCTTTGTCGTCTCTCTTTCCTTGACTCTTCTTCCAGAAGTTCCAATACAACATCCCAAATACTTTTCCCTACACCCAAGAACAGAAAGTTAGAGCCTGGGAGGAAGGAAGAAAGAGTCCCCACCACCCCTATGTGACTTTGGTTCTCACCTCATAACTGCACAGTGATGGAGTTGGTCCAGGTATCCTCCAGGGTGCCTTTTAGATTTAAAATAGAAATTTTTTTCATAGACTCAGCTATAATTGTTCCAGGAAATGCTCTTCCCCTAGGCTTATTTCTCTGTTTTTTCCCCAAAGGCCTCATTTTATAGAGCCAAATAGTCACTATGTTCTACTTTGCTCTATCTTGATTATCTTATGACCTTAGGAAAATCTTCTTGTTTATGCCAAGGTTTGGCCCAAAGAATGTGACTCCATAAGGTATCTACTATCAAATGTGTTTGGAAATTACCTCAGATTGTGCTACCCTCTTAGAGTTTTCCAGTGACTGACCAACTATGAAAGACTCTTAGAAGTTCTACAGTAAGGAAACCTGTTAATTTTGCTTAACTTGAAATCCTTTTATTTCTGGTAGCTTCTATTAACATCCCTTTGTAATTAGTGCCCACACCATGCACAGAGGAGGCACAGCTCTAGAAGGGAGGATATAGTACCTAATTCTGCCACTGGCTGACAATGTGATCTCAGGATAAATACATAACCTCTCTACATCTAATGTTCCTCATGTGTCAAATGAGGATGCACAATAGTATGCCCTTCATGGTGGATATAAATATTTAAAGCAGTATTATTATATGACTGTGGTGATTTATGATTAATAATATCACAACTCTGGTGTCTGGCTGTCTAAGTTCAAATTTTGTCCTTCCTTTTACTGGCTATATGACCTTAGGAACATTACTGGACTTCTGTACCTCAGTTGTTCATCTGTATGATACAGGTTGTATCATTCTCACAGGGTTATTAGAAGAATTCATTCTGATTCATGGAAAACATTTAGAATTGTGCTTGGTCCATGATGGGTCCCTAATAAATGTGAGCCCTTATTATTCTCATCATTGGTGCTCTTGTGACTTCTATGACAATGTCGTGTGGAAAAAATTATTTTAGTTCCTTTTTTATTGGGATACAATTGACATATAATATTATATTAGTTTCAAATACACAACATTAACAATTCAGTATTTGTATATGTTGTGAATTGATCTTGTTAGTGAGTCTAGTGAACTTCTATCACCTCACATAGGTATCAATGTTTTTCTTGAGATGAGAACTTTTAAGATCTACTCTCTGAGCAACTTTCAAATATACAATACGATATTATTAACCATAGTTACCATGAAGTACATTACTTGGATTATTTTCGTTTCTAAAAGCAACTCCTCTTACCTCAAAAGCCAGCTTAAATGCAGAATGTTACTTAAAATAACATCACACCCCTCCTGCAAATATTCGATTCTGCCTTGTTGATTTTGATCTCTTCAGCTAGAGTCTCTGATCCTTGTCTTCCATCATTTAACTTTGTAACTGTTTCTGTTTGTGAACAGGGGCGGAGAGGCCTGGGCTCTGTTTTTGTCTGGGCGTCGGGAAATGGCGGAAGGAGCAAAGACCATTGCTCCTGTGACGGCTACACCAATAGCATCTATACCATCTCCATCAGCAGCACAGCCGAAAGTGGAAAGAAGCCTTGGTACCTGGAAGAGTGTTCTTCCACCCTGGCCACCACCTACAGCAGCGGAGAGTCCTACGATAAGAAAATAGTATGTGCTATTCACATGCCTGCCATGATTTATTTATCTCTCCTTCACTTTGACATGCAGAGGGGAAAATCACAAATTTATATGCACAAGTAATATGTGGAAAGAGAAAGGCCTATTAGCCGATTACTGAACACAAGTGTTTGTAAATGTTATCATTTCATTGAAAAAGCCTGTCCAGGTCATGACATTCCAGCATTTAACGTGGCCTTAGGCATGATTAAGCTTCAGTTTTATTGAGGACAAATGAATGGTCCACTTTCACCTGGTGAGTTACTGGCAGAGAAGGGACTGGAACCTAGATCTGACTCTCAGCCCAGTGCCTCTGTCCTTGTATCCCCCTACTGCCTTTTGAGCCTTTGCTTCTGTGCTTCAGTTTTCCAAAGACAGCTAATTTGAAATGAAAAACAAAAGTACATAAGGAAACCCAGAATTCCAATTAGACTCTATTTATTTAACATAAACTAGCCCTGTACAAAAGGTGCTGTTCTAATATTTCCTCACAAACTTTGTTGCCTGAATGAAAAGCACAGAAGTCCTGTGTGATCTGCTTCCTAACATGCCCTGCTCTCCATGCAGAGAGCAAAGTGATTAGTAAGAGTTCAGGTTGCAGGACTAGCCTGCATCCATTTCATTGGGTGTCGAACTATTTACTAGCTGGGTAACTTGAGACACATTCCTTACTTTTTCTGTCTTAATGCCCTTATTTGTAAAATGGGGACATTTCATAGTACGTAGCCTGTCGAGTTATTACAAAGATTATGAGGAAGCAAATAAAATGTACCTTGCATACTACGTGACTCATTTGTGTCCAGGACAGGTCTGACTTTGGGGGTACCCAGCACTGTGCTGCTGACGCTAGATGTCAGCACCTTTTTACGATGCTCTTTTCCCGACCATGGTTTTATAAGCTGTCTTGGGATTTGTCTTACTAAAGTGGAGTTAAGCTGCTATACCTGTCGCCTTTTAGCATTTAGCCCAGGCCTTGCTTTCAGGAGGTCTTTTTGATTCATGCAGGTTTGGATCCCTCTGCTTTTCCAGGCAGCGATAGGACACTACCTCATTCGTTGTAATTCTTTACTCACAACCATTTGGATTGATTCCTGATTATTACGTGATTTTGCGTTTTATTTCTCAGTTATTTTTTAAGACCTTCTCCAGTGACATTTTGCAAATTGATTGGAATAAAAGCTGCCTACCCCCATACAGGCCCTGTCTGTCCTCTTCTTTCTGTTAATTTCTCTACAGTAATCGGATGGAAAGATATACATATGGGTCTGCCTCTAATTACCTCCATCAGTCATCAGTAAACATAACTCCACAATACAAAGTGAAATATGAAAGGAAAAAATACAGAGATGAGCAACTTTTGAAATTTCATAGCTTTCTTAATGGGAAAGTGATCTCCTGTGATGTGTTTGTTACCTTCATTATGAAAATGTTGTAACCTAGGAATGCTCCTTCAGCTTTCAAATATGAAGACCTTGTTTCCCAGAACTAACTGACCCTTAGGTCAATGTCCACTAGTAATGAGTGGTGTCGGTCAGTTCTGCATCATGAAAATCCTGATGTAAACTCTCTGGAAGAAGAGTTCTCTTCTTGTACCTCTCAAGTCTGAAGGCATCTTAAGGCAAACTCACCCCTGCTTCCAAGCAAAGATGCCCATCTAGTCCAGATTATCCCTGTAGGGTGATTCCTGGTAGGGGTGTGGGAGGGTGGTAAGTTCCATAATTGTCTTCCGTAAAGGAAACTTATAATCCAATGGGCAAATGCCAAAGAGGAAGGAAGGCTTGCCTGCATCCCAAATGAACACGTGTGGACAGAGGGACCTCAAAATTGCTACAATAAGATTTACTCCTTAGACTTGACCTTGCTGGTCCCTTCATCACTATTTGCTCAATTGTGTGGTAGCTTTTATGACACCATAATGGGGTGGTAGTTTAGGATGCTCCCAGGAATGGACAAACTGACCCATCTGGTGGTCCAGGATAGGGCCTAGTGGGAAGGTGGAGACCTTGCCATAATATCCTTGATTCAAGTTTTGTACTTTGCTCTTCCCTAATTACTGCCTCTGATGTCAAAACCTTTACTGACTTACTGTGTATATTTAATATTTACTTGTTTATACACCTTTTTAAGTCTCTCCCAGTTTCATTGCAGCAAACTGTTAAGAAATGTTCTTTATCTTGCTCTTAGATTCTCTTACTATGCCTGAATATCCAGATTACCCCCAATTGGAGGGGAAATTTGGTAGCTGTTTCAAGCTATAGTCTCTAGCTTCAGACTGCTCAGTAGCTAAGCAACCTTCACAGTCTTGGTTTCTTCATCTGTATAATGCAGCACCAACCTCACAGATTTTCATGAGGAGAATGAGCTATGAAGTGTAGGTATTTACACAGCACACGGCCCAATAAGCCTCTCTAAGTCACCATAATTTTCTGCATCCTAGGAGGCTAGTGTGGTCATTTTTTCAGCTCTTGTTAACAGAGGTGTGTGTTGCACCACCATTTGTCCAATCTCTCAAATACTGCAATCTGTTCCCCCATGTCCCATAAAGAAAGCACTTTTTAACAGTTGAACATGAATAGAGTTGGCAACAACATCAGCCTTTTATGGTCCAGCTGACCCCTTTTCCTTCTAGATGTCAGGAAGACAAATAGTCCTGTCTTGCACCTGGGACCTTTTCTTCATCAGGCTTTGAACCAGACGCCTGTGGTCCCTCGGAGATGCCCGCATCCTGTTAGTGGCATCTGTGATTGAGTGTTACAGGAATGGCAGTGTCTCCCTTTGTACTCGGGGCTCTCTTCCCTGGGTCATTCATTTTCTTTTGTCATTTGCAGCTTCTCCAGAAGAGCATACTTGTCATTCCTCATTCATTGAGCACCTTTGTGATTTGAACCAAGGCAGCTGCTAAGGATCCAGAAGAGAGGGAGCATCTCCTCTCTGCTTCTGGGAAAGCACTTGTGTTAAATAAATTTTACTTATCCTCAATAAATACCTTTTCATGGTATGCAAGCTGGAAAACCTTGCCCTGGGTTTTAAAATATAGCTAGGTCTCCATCTCCTGGTTTCCTGCCACTACTATTTAGGATTTGTGGACCTTGATATTCCATTCATGCTTTAATAGATCAGATCAGGGACCACCTTATATCTTCTTACACCCAAAATATCAAGATTACTACCGTGGGAAGCTTCTCTGTAAGCTAAATAGAAGCCAGTTAAAATGTATTATAAAGCCATATTATTAAATAATTGTTTTTATTAACAATATTGTATATATCTAATTCCATGTTGAACATGTAACATTTTTGCCCTTCTAATATGTACCTGGCCCTGCACTGTGTGTACCAAATGCATTGTCTCATCATGTCCTCAGAACCCTATGCAAGAAGATCAGGTATTTTCCCTCCTTTACAGATGAGAACAATAAAGCTTGAAAGTTAAGAGAAATGCAGCTAGGAAATGGTAGAGCCCAGATTCCAACCAAAGTCACATAGACCCCCTCCAAACTCATTTTACACCCAATGTGCTATTATGCCCTGGGTACTCTTCAGAGACATCCAGTATGTGGCTACATGAAAAGGGGTGCCTTTTTTTTCCTCTTACATGTTCTTTGCATAGTGATTTTTTAAAAAGTATTTGGGCTATATACGCCCATTAATTTTTCCAACTTAGACCACTTATTTTGAATTTCGTGCCATTAAACCTTTTCATAAGCTGCTCAGACAGTCAGTCCTCTTTCAAAAACCTTAAACTCTTTGCAGATCTGAGTTGCTAATTCTTGTGGCACCGTGTCAGCCCCAAACTGCCCAAGCTCATGCCGTTTGTGTGGCATTCACATCGGGACTCTCTCCTGGGAGAAGTGAAGTCTGTCAGGCCCGAAACCACTTCATTTACTGTGTCTGTTCTCAAATTTCACCTCAGTGAGGGTATTCGTCCTCACCTCCCCTAAAATAGCGGCTCCTCTTTCCACCATGCTCTGCTCTCAGCCCGCTGAATTTTCTTTCACGTATCCTCAGAGCTATTTAACATGAGATTATACATTTTCATATTGACTGTTTTCACCCTAGAATGGGAACTACTCGAGGTCGAAGACTTTGTTTTGTTCCTTTCCAGAGCCTGAGCTTATAAATAATCAGGCATAAGTGGCTAATCAGACGCAGGGGAAGGATGGAAGTTTGGGGTTTTTATATAATAGCCACAGGAAAACAGAGAGATGTTCTGTTTCTCCAAGAGGAACTCCTTCTACTGACAGATAGGTGGCAAGAGGCAAAGGGTATTTGACAATATGTTTTAGCATAGAAAACTGCCTGGAGTCAGTGCTCTGTCTTGCCACATGATAAAGCTGTACATATTACCTTTCTTAGTGTCAAGGACCATTTAAGATCCTGTCTATAACCCTTCACTACATCCCTAATTTTCTGCCAAGTTCTGTTTTGGAGATAAAGCTCCCCTCTCATCCCAGTCACTCCCATCATTAAATTATCTCTTTCCTTTGGGACTAGTTAAGCCTTTGCCTTTTTTTTTTTTTCCTGTAGTAATTTGGATCAGTGATTGGAATTCGGGGGCCATGCTATTCCTCCTGGGATGGGTTTTGTGAGCCAAGGTTGAGAGAATATATGCTCTGCTCAACCCTCTCCTGATGTCATTTTATTCATTTGTGTTCAAAACAAACTTGCTGCCTGGGGTATCTCAGGGTTGGCCTGAACCACTGATTCCATGTGGAGGAATTATCTTATTGCTTTTAATGTTCCTCAGCAGCTACATGTTTCCTTTTGCAGAAACATTGCGCTCCCTCCCCCGGCCTCCCCCCACTACTCAGTTCATTATTCAAATGCAGTCACTACTCTATCATCTCTCTGTTTCTCCTTTTGATTCAGGAAATGTCATTACTTTTCATGAGTAAAAGACTAGCAAATCCAGCTGTGTTTCTTTTGTGTGGAAGTTTGATACATAGTCTCTTGGGGTATTTAAAAAGAAAGGGTAGGGGGAGATGAGAGAGA